AAAAAAAACACCCCCCCACACACCTCGCTTTGGGGCGGGGGTGTCCTTGCGCCGCGAGTGAAAGTGCCCCAGGCCTGCCGGAACAGCTAAGTTTTTACGGCTTTTCTGAAGGCCATGAGAGTGGGGATGGTCCGGCTTTCCGGGGGAAGCTGGTTCCAGAGACTGCAGGCTACTTCAGCTGACTGCTAGCTGCAGTTTGGCAGTTCAAATCTCATCAGGTTTAAGGTTGACTCAGGCTTCTATCCTTCCGAGATGGGTAAAATGAGGACCCAGATTGTCGTGGGCAATATGCTGACTCTGCAAACCGCTTAGAAAGGGCTGTAAAAAGCACTATGAAGCAGTATATAATTCTAAGTGCCAGTGCTATTCTGTAAGGAGATCTAAAGCAGCTTCGGGCTCACCACATTCTAGCAGTAGGAAGCGGGGTTGTAGAGATAAGGGGGAATGTTATGGCTAGCTAGCATTCTTTCCCATGGGAACAGAGAATGTGCCTGCAGATGGCTGAAGGTGGAGTTTGGAGTCACCAGACAGTGGACTGTGAGCTGATTGGAGAATGTGACTCTGGGAGAAAGTTTCAAACTTTTGCTCTTTACTTGGTGTAATTCCAAGGCTTGATCAGAATTGGAATTACACCAAGACCTTGCAAATTTGATATGTTCCTAATAAATGGACCTTGCTTGAATATGACTGCCTGGGATTTTTCATTCGTGGAACATATTACAAGTAGAGGTAGGGTTCTTACCCCCTATATGAGCACCATAATTTATAGTGGTACAATTAAAGATGCAATACATTAGTGTACATATTAACAATTAAGTTTAAATGGATTAAAGTCAGAAAAATTAAGAAAAATGATTGGGGTGGATTAAGGTTAACTTTAGCTGTTTTGCAGATTTATAAGTTTTCGTATGGAATAAGATGATGACGTTGATGATCTATCAGGTCCTAGATTGAAATAATAAGTGAGATGGACATTGTTACTAGTGAAAATTGAGTTTTACTTCAATCATCATCATTGGGGTATAAATAAATTTTGATTGACTGCTTAAATCAATATAATGAACAAGTATTGCTTACTTGTCCTTTAAATACTTCTAAGGAATATTCCAATTATATAGAAAGTCACTATAACTGGACCACTTGACCCCATACAGATGTCAAGAGCATTGATTGGCCCCTATCTTGAAAAGACACATGTAGCATACAATGTTTGAAGTCAACATTTTAAAAAAAACATATGGAAATTCTTATGAAGTAGAAGCATATAAATCAAACACAAAATGTACTGTATAGGTATTTCTTACCTTGCAGGATACTTTTTACAATACTTTCTGTGTGTTCAGCAAGCAGCTCTGCTTTACTGATTGCGGCAAGTGAGAGATAACTGGATAAATTCCTGCACAATTCTTTGTTACCTCTCTGGAGAAACTTCACTGCCACTGGGACAGCCAACGCTATGATGGGAGGGCGATTATAATTCTTTTAGGGGGTGGAAAAGAACAAAAATAGAGTTACAAATTATTGCACACACGTTCACTTTGGTGTTCTTATTGTCGCTAAGTTTTCATCAGGTGTGTAGAAACAAACTATTTTGAATTACCTTTACTACAATGAAATATAAATGTGAAGGTGTACTGTTGAATGTCATGTTGTTCTAGTTCTTAAATAATGAAATATAAATTTTGTATTTACACAGAGTCACTTTGGATAGTGAGATGGGCGGCATATAAATGTAATAAATAAATAAAATAAAGAGTCTGACTTTAACTGCAATAGTGAACAAGTCAGTTTAATCAAGATTTTTTAATTTGACAAGGAGCCTAACAAAGGAGTTGACCACAACATATTTTAAGGAATATGGTTATGGAAAGGAAGTGCTAAAAGAGAAAGATTCTTGAAGCAGTTCTCATCAGCATGTCAGAGAAGGAAATTGGGTTGTCTATTCCTTCCTCATTCCTTAATTCCCAAATCAAAAGAAATTCTTTGGGAAGATTTTTAAAAAGCCCAATGAAAGGCTGTTTATTTTTTTTTTAAAAACCAACTAGACCATCAATATTAATATTAATATTGTTAATATTATAAGAATATTGATAATGTTTGTCTGGATTCACACAATACCCAAATCATAAATCATGATTAACAAGCTCAACATTGGCTGAGTTAGTACAACATGCTAAGATAAGACTACAAACAAACTGAACTGTAGCCTAGCCTGATATGTGAAACCATCTTAAAGCTACTGGTTTATTTTGCTCTTTCCTGGATTTTTGAGTTTCCTCTGACTTATTCTTTTAGTACACTTCAAGCTGGTCATGAGTTTTCTTTGTTCTACTTTAATATACCAGCAATAATATAAATATAGACAACCTAAAAAACTGAGATAAATTTTTGATCACATATATTTTCATCAAGTATAATTGATTTGATTGTAGTTAATATATCTTCTTCAAAAGAGTCTTTAGAGTAAAATGAAGACAATGGAGTCTTGTTCTACTTATTAAAGAACTACTGTTTTGAAAATCAACATCTGTTTGGGACCTAGATTTTAACATTTGTTTAAAATGCATACTTGGACCTGATCCTAGAGTTCTGAAGCTGAAATAAAAATAATTGAGCCTTGAGGAGTTTTAGATGGCATTCCATTGATATGAACCAGGTTCTAATTATATGGTGTTTGCTTTTGAATAAAAATAGATTAATATGATTTCAATATTAATTAAATTCATAGTAGTTTAAGATAAATAAACCTTTAGTATGACTTCTGAACTAACCAGCAGAGTTGTTCCTCCCTAAGAAACCCCATTACTAATACAAACTTTAGTAATGACAGTTTTAACTTTAGCTATAGTTCTAGCCTCAATTTAGATGGACAACTAAATATTACTATGAATATAATGCCTGAAAAAAAGACTTTCTAGTTAATACATATTCACATTTAACACATAAACATGCATTTTTTATTCAGTTTCATGTCTTGTTGTTCAAAAGAACAAAAAATTATTTTGGGTTCTAATTATATCAACTTACTGTTAATCTTTAGTGATATGTAGTGGAATTTGGTCTTTCTTCAAATTATCTGTTTTGTAATCTTAAATGTATCAATTTGTGTAAAAATCTACATAACATGGTGTATGGATTTTGCTTCCTTTCTTATATACTAGAATTTAATTAGAAGCTGTGATTGAATAATTTGACTCCAGAAACTTATCTTAATTGAAATACCATCAAAACAGTGCATCTGTGCTAAATATTCCAACTTAAACCTTCAACATGTGCAGTAAAATTTACTCCAAAGCTAGTTATCAAGCTATGTATTTATGTTTATGAAACGTGGAGGGAACCATGCACAACTTAATGATATAAAGTCATAGATAAAAATTATTATACATCATAGTTTGGAAGAATTGAGCATTAGGATGACATTTTCATTGGCACATACATAGTTCTGCTTGCCAATTTCTGAGTATTCTAACACATAGCAGAAAATTATTAATCTGAAATCTATTTGACCACTTAAAATAGATATTATTTTGAATACATATTTACAAAATAGTACAGGTAATCCTTGACTTATGACCACAATTGAGCCCCAAATATCTGTTGTTAGGTGAGACATTTGTTAAGTGAATTTTGTCCCATTTAAAACATTTCCCGCCACAGTTGTTAAGTGAATCACTGGAGTTGATAAGTTAGTAACCTGGTTGTTCAGTGAATCTGGCTTCCCCATTGACTTTGCTTGTCAGAAGGTCACAAAAGGGGATTGATCACAACACCCCAGGACCAGTGGTGGGATTCACTTACTTTCCCTAGCGGTTAGCAAATGCGAGCATGCATGTGCACGCACTCACTTTGTGTATGTACACCGCCTTCTCTGCATGCGCAGTGCTCGCGCATTACATGGGGGTAAGTGGGCAGAGCCTCCCACAGCCGCCACTACCAGTTTGCCCACACTGGAGAGAACCGGCTGAATAGCACCTCTGCCCAGGACGCTGCAACAGTCATAAGTATGAACCAGTTGCCTATCATCTGAATTTTGATAACCTGATCAAAGATTGTAACTGTGAAAATTGTCATAAGTCACTTTTTTCAGCACCATTGTATCTTTGAATAGTTACTAAATGAACTGTTGTAAGTTGAGGACTACCTGTATTCAGAATTTTTTCTAAAGAGCAGGAATGTCCAGGGCTTTGGCTCTGAAATTCACAATGTATTTAGAAGCAGGCATGGATAGGAATTGAATCAGCTGCATTTTCACCCCAGGATTTCACAGTAGCCACACAATTTCAGAAAAATACATATTTCAGTTGAGATAGTACCAATATTTGTTCCTTAACTCAACCTACATTTTTTTCAGAAATCACATGGCTAGTCTATGAGCCCAGAAAAATATCTTTAAAGGGAAATCAAGAGGTATAATGTGTATTTTCACATCTAAAACTCTTTTTTTCCAGCTTCAGACTATAGTGCAGAACACATTCCAAGAAAATACTTTTCATGGAATCTGATTAAAGACAGGCTATTTTAGACATTCTTCCAAAGGAGAAGAACATTTCAGAGGATTTCTCATGGATGGAGCATCCTTGAATTTATTTTGCTATATGGTGGCCAGATGGTTGAGGTGAAGATCTTGCCTTTTGTGTGATTTTCCCATGCTTCCTTTCCCTTTCAAGGAAATATATCGATCTCCCATCCTCCTTTTTCAACATATTTACTACTGTAACCACAAAAGGAATCTTGTCCATGATAAGTTGTTAGATAATTTCTCTGTCCCTTGGGGAAAAAAATGAAAAATTGAATAAATCACCCACCCGCCTTTTCTACTATAAATTTGGGGGAGACTGTTAATGTTTAGTTCTATTACAAAAAAGAACCAATCAACATACCCTCAAAAAGGTACATCATCAGGCAAAACATTCCTACCTGCAAAATGCAGCTCATAATATCAGAGGCAATCTTTGCATGCGGTGTGTCTTCATCTTTACAAAAGGGTTTCAGATTGTGCTCTAAACATGACTCCCAGAGATCAATTAGAGCTTTTCCATGCTTCTCGATGGATTCTGTCTCCCTGATGGCTGAAGTAATTCGAGTGACACAAATCTCCACAACTGCTTGGTCATTGTCATTCGTCTGGTAGTCCTGATTGAGATAAAATATGATAACAGTTGGAGTCCATACCTAGAGGAAGATGTTTATTCATACTTAGAAATTGACTAGCACAGTGATGGCTAACCTTTTTGTCGTCACATGCCTCATCTATAATACAATGCACATGTGACACTCCCTGCACATGCGCTCCCCACGCCCCCCGTGCATACATGCACGACCCCCTTGTCCCCTATTTTGGGCCTTGTAGGCCTCCCTGCAGCATCTTGGAACCAAAAACAGGCTGCGGGGGCGTATCACATACACCACCCCCACGCATGCACACATGACCCTCCACCCCCCCACACATGACCCAAAAATCAGCTGACTGGCAGGAGGCACGCACGCATGTGTGGTGGAACTGAACTGGGGCAATGGCTTGCGTGCTTGCAGAGAGGGCTCTGTATGCCACCTGTGGCACGCATGCCATAGGTGCGCCATTAAGGGCCTAGCTTTTAGATTAGCAGGGAGGCTGGTGCATTGTGACTGAAAGCACTTGACTAGACTACACTAAAATCAAGATCTTAATTTGCACACTTTAAAACACATTAAAAACTTCAGACATTTGGCCGTGATATTTCATAGCTCTGCCAAACCCAGCTCACAATGAAATAGGTAATCCAAAAGGCACAAAAATCATTGACACAACCAGAATATATCCACTTTATCAAAATAGGATAACATACATACCTTTTCTTTAGTGTTCTGTTTGGACCATGTAATTTCTTTATCTGTCTGGACAGGGCTGCCTCCAAATTTTTAATGACAATATTTCAAGTGGGCTTTTGTATACTTAATATGGTTTTAAAGAGAACGAAAGCCATAAACATGTATTATTGCCCACTAGTTTAAGGTGTAGGCTTTATTGCAACATTATGGACTTTCAAGAATTGGCCATTCTTATGATGGGCCATGTTTGAGCAATTACTGCATTGAAGTAATCTGCTCAATTGGATCAATTTGTTCTAACAGGGTGATGTTCCTAAGTAGCCATGCCCCTTTGTTTACATTGGCCAAACACGTAAATAACTCTTCCTAAACTCTGATGAGCACTAATGTTAGCATGTTTTAGTGTCATCTCAGCTGTTGTTGTTGAGGGTGAATATTTATTTGTTTGTTTGTTATAAAATTTATTGACTGCCCATCTTACCAAAGGATAACTCTGGGTGGTTTACAATAATAAAAAATAAAAACGTTGCAGAGATAAAAACATAAATAGGATACAATACAGTCAAATATAGTGACTCAACCGAAAGAAAGGAAGGTGGGAGAAGATTAGGAAGGAAGATGGGATCTGTGGTTAATTAATCAACCAACCACCCCCATTGTGATGCTGCCCCATTGGAACCCCAAGACAGAGTCATGTTTTTAGGCTCTTATGGAAGGTCGGGAGGGTTTATTTATCCTTTCACTGTCTTAACATTAAATACTATGCTTCAGGGGTGAAATCCAGCAGGTTCTGACAGGTTCTGGAGAACTGGTAGCGGAAATTTAGAGTACTTCGGAGAACCGGCAAATGTCACCTCTGGCCCCAGAGTAGGGTGGGAATCAGTGGTGGGTTATGGATCCACGTCCAACTGGACATGGTTGTAATAGGCCCAGTGTCGCCCACATGGACACGCGTGGCACTTGTGCGTCGTAACTGCCATTGACGCCTCTGCAAGCCTCCACGATGCTCCAGCTGCTCGGTGGAACATTGTGCGGGCGCTGTATGTGCCATGCACATGTGCAAAAGCGCTGAAGGCTTTAAAAAACAGGTAAGAAGCTCGAGCAGGCAGGTGGGCCCTCCAGAGCACCGTACCGGAATGGTACCTGGTGCTCCGGGCAGGCTCCGGTATGCCCGTACCAGGGAATATTGCTTGCAACCCATCACTGGTGGGAATGGAGATTTTGCAGTATTCTTCCCCTGCCATGTCCACCAAGCCATGCCCACCAATCCACACCATGCCCACCAATCCATGCCCACAGAACCTGTAGTAAAAAAATTGAATTTCACCACTGCTATGTTTCCTGTTTGAGACTCTTTATCTTTTTAAAAAGATCTTTCTTTTCTCATTTGTATTCATCTTCATTATTGCTCGGGTTTTTTTCTTATATTTTAACTTTTTTCAAATTGTATTCTAATTGAACTACCATGAGAATTTTCCTAAAAGTTTATCAGTTAAATAAGCAAATCAATAATGTATAAAGTTCATATAATTCTGTCTTTAGAAAAAGGCAAGAAGCAAGGAATTTCAATAATGAAGAGAGTATCTTCAAGTAATAAGTGTCTCTAGCAGTTCACATTTCAGGGATCCCTATTAGAACAGAACACCCTTGTAAGTAACAGTAACGTAATTCCTTCTCACACTAAGAAAGCAAGGAGAGACATTCGCCTAAATTCCTAATTGTTGCCCTCTCCCACATTGGTAAAATATATAGGAAGGAGTTTGCTGGAAGATTTTTATATTATTTGAATCTTCCTGGGAGCAGAACAGACTGGATGGCAGAAAAGAAACCTGAAGCTCAAAGATTACGAACTGTAATTCTTTCTGAAATCCATATAAACATCTAAGGGCAATAAGTAATTAGTGCTTTAGAGATCTGATTTTATTTTGGATATGTTCAGTCTTGCTTGATTTCTGATGAGGCTAAATTTCCCTTAAGGCTAAATTCCATTTTGGATGGTACTATATGCACAATCCCTTTGCTTATATTTACCCTATGGATGTTGGTTGTTTTTCTCTAATCCTAACACATAACCATTTCTTCTATTGTCAGTTTGTACCTCAATAGAGAAGGCTATAATGTAATAATACATCTCAGAAGGCTGAAGTGCCTGCAAACTGATCATCACTTACTGTGGTTAAACAGTCTTTGTTAATTAAGAGAAAAAAAGGCATTTTTATTCTTTGGCTTTGATCCTAGATATATAGTTGAAAAGAGACCAAAATTGTACCATAATTCCAAATTTTGGAAATCAGTAACTGCTGCACCACCCTGAGTTATTTTGATTGTTGAGATTCTTACAATATGTAGAATGACGCTAATCCTTGGTCCTGTGATAACATAGTTAGACAAGACAAGAAATTTGCACTGGTTTGTAATCAAGAATAAGACTCGATAGTCAGCATTTCAGTAAAAACCCAGGAGTTAGGCAACTTTCCAAAGACAGACCTATTCTGACTGTACTTCCTCTGCTGAGAATTACAATGGTGGCTTGTAGTCCAATGTTTAACAACACGTCTTTTCAGAAACTCATTCTAACTCTACTAATGCACGTTCCTTGCTGAAGCATGAGACATTTAATAACGAATATGTAGGTTCTTGAGGGAACCAAGCTTGTGGTTACCTAACTTTAGAAGTTAAAGATTGATGGTCATGGACTCCATAGTATGATCTGCTGGATCTTGTACTCCAATTTGGTTCATTTGAGCACTGCACGTTTCTTATACAGCCATGATGGCGAACCTATGGCATGCTTGCTGCAGGTGGCACATGGAGCCCTCTCTGCGGGCATGTGAGCCATTGCCTAACTCAGCTCCACTGTGCATGCGTGTGCGTGCCTCCCGCCGACCAGCTGATGCTTGGGTCTGTGCTGTGAATGTGGGAGAAGTCTGTGCAAGCGGGGGTGGGGTGGGGGTCACACGGGCATGTGTGTGTGTGGGGGTGCGGCATGCCCTCCCCGCAGCCTATTTTTGGTCCCAGGCAGCTTCAGGGAGGCCCGCGAGGCCCAAAACGGGCCATGAGGGGGACCAGGGGGGGGATCACGTACATGTGCAGAGGAAGCACAGGGGGGTAGGTGTGCATGCAAAGGAGGAGGGGTGCATTGCATTATGAGTGTGGGCACACAGACACGCACTGTCACGTGCGCACATGCAATTTTGGTACACAAGGAGAAAAGGTGATCCATCACTGTTATACAGACATTTATGAGATTATGCATATTCGTTTTCTAAAGAACAAAAGGAACAAATCATAGAAATTGTACTCTTAGTTATCAATTACTATTAAATGGTCTAATTTATGATGTTCTGTGGACATTACAAAAGCTATGCTGTTGCAGGACAAAATTGCTTTATTGAAGAGACTTAATCCAGATCCTGGGCCATTGCTGACAGTAATCATGTACCATCTCTGCTCCAGAAATCTTTCCATCCATTATGTTACAAGAAACAGGCTCTGAAACATATCTAGTTTAAAGGTTTCATCAGGCGGTCTGACACAGAATTTTTCATGGTGTTGTGGAAGAGAAAAGTGAATCCCATTAAACAGTGAGAGACCGTGCCATTCTGAATGTGAAAGCAGTCCAGCTGGTCTTGATAGAACTGAAGCCCCACTTGTAAATATTATATAAACCACCCTGGTCTCCACACCCTGAAGTATTAAGTGTGGAGGACATTTTCCAACTGGACAGAAAATACTAGCAGCAATATAGAAACTTGGCAACTGTTTGGCTGCCAATAGCAGAGGAGTTTCCCATTTTATTATGGCCTGACCTCACTGGCAATTCGGATCTAAAAGTAATTAGAAAGACTATCTATGACAGGAAGAGAAACTATGTGTCATGACATCTTGTGTTCTCCATCATGACTTCTTGTGTTCTCCTTCACTAGAGCCCTTTAGACAGGGTTGGATATCAGAGATATTCAAGTGGATCCTGCATGGATGAAAGGTGTGGATTGGATTACCTCTGACTCTGAGGACCCTTCCAACTCTAAATTCTGTGTTGAACAACTGAAATTAAAAATAATGAACCAATAATAATTTGACTCCCTTGTCTTTCCTTTCTGTGCTTGTACTTTTATAATTACTTTTTTTTAATACAAAAAAATGAATTAAGTTCAAAGACTGTACAGAATTAAAGATTTCTATTGCTGTACTAAAACATAATTTATCGCTTGTCATTTATGATAAGTTTGTGTAAATCAAATTGCTAAATCAGAATGCAAGGGGCAGTCTAATCCAATGTTCAGTTTCCAAAATAGACAGATTCTTACCAAAGGGACATTATG